CCTGACTATCGCCGAGATCACGTTCTTACTCTACGGCAGCGGCTGGGTTCTAGACGAACTCATATCATGCCTTGAGCATGGCTGGGAGGTACACACACAAGAACTTTGGGCTTTTCTGGACGTTACATTCGCCGGCATATTTCTCATCTATCTCGGCATGCGGTGCCATGGGTGGATGACGAATCAAGACGAAACGGGTAGACAAGCCCTTGACGTTCTTGCTGTCGCGTCCCCAATATTGTTCCCACGTATCGCATTCAACCTTATGCCCGAGAACATGCTGTTCATTGCTCTGAGGGCGATGGTCAAGGAGTTCACAGCACTGAGTCTGATCGCTGTATGGTGCTTTGGCGGCTTCCTCTTGGCGCTCAAATGGCTGAGCATCAGCAACCCCGAAGTCGGCTACGAAGATTCACCAAACTCCATCACTATCTCCAAGTGGATGCTCTGGATTTGGTTCGGTCTGGATGGCCAAGGCATCGATGAAGCTCCTGGGTTCCATGAGATTCTCGGTCCTACCCTGATGGTGATCTATGCTTTCCTGGGTAACACGCTATTCTTGACAGTCCTTGTCTCGATTCTGTCCAACACGTTCAGCAAGATCGCAGCAGATGCGACGGCCGAAATCCAATTCCGCCGCGCCGTGCTCACTTTCGAAGGTGTCAAGTCCGATTCGCTATTCGCCTACCGCCCACCCCTTAACCTATTGGCGTTCATTATTCTACTCCCTCTCAAGTTCATACTTTCGCCCCGCTGGTTTCACAAGATCAACGTCTCAGCGATACGTATATCGAACTTCCCTATTCTCCTCGCCATCAACTACTATGAGCGTAGGTATCTGTGGAAGCCCCGTCGCCACCTCAGCATCAACGGCCCTGGACCCTCCAAACGCACAACATGGCTGCAAGACATCGGTTTCTGGAGGAGCTGGAAGCAATTGAGTCCGCACGCTGATTTGCAGGCCGTGTTTGAGGAGGAGCCACCGGAGGACGTAGTGCATAGAATCGAAGAGGAGGATGACCTTGAAGACGCTATCCTCGAAAACAGTTTCGCAGCGAATGCCATGGGTACTCGTAGTGTGAGTCCAGGAAGTGCCATGACGGGAAGAAGGAGGAGGTTGAGTAGTGTGTGGCCAGGGCCGGGCGCTTAGGAAGGGTTTCGGCGGTCTACACGCTAGATCGTACCTTGGGGGTTTGCGGCTATCATGTTCCACAGACTATAGTGAATTTCGGTGTCTCGTATTACCCCATCAATTCAAATCATACATCTTGATCCATGAACGTGTGTGTTGTCGCATATCAGTCGCTTGTCGATTAGGCCCATCGCGATGCAGCACCCCACTCCGTACTAACGCCGAGATCCGCACCCAACGTCGAGCTATTACCCCCAGCTTATTGCGCATCGAACCCGTTCGAGATAGTATCGCGACGATAGTATATCTTATTACCCCCAGGATACTACTCAATTGACCCTCTGACCATCCGCGGCCTTGCAAAACCGTGCTCTTGTTCGACGAAGCTGCGCGGCCGATCCGCACCGCACATTCTTTCTCCGGCGGCTAACGCCTGCGGCCGATAAGCATCACCACAACAAACTCTGGTAAAGATTCCATCTGGTCTTGCGCCCAGAAGAAAGAGAGTGACTCACGACTGGGTGCCTGATCTGGAAAATATATGCGACGGTGTTGATTGAGGATATATAAAGCGCGTCGACAGCTTAATCAAAAGAGTAGCAACATCAACACCGACAACCTCGACATCACAACTAAACGCTGAACACCACCTCAAGTCTAAAGATGGCGGACATCAACCCGCTCCCCTTCTACCCGCTCCCTTCACGGGCCTCTCTACTATCACAATTTTTGGGCCAAAAGCTCGAAGACCTGCCCACACCAGCCATCGTGCTCGACCGCGCCATCGTACGGCGAAACTGCGATGCGATGCTCAACATCTGTGCAGAGCTCAAAGTCGGGTTCCGCGCCCACGTCAAGAGCCACAAGACGCTTGAGCTTTCTCAGATGCAAGTAGGCGCAGAGCAGAGCCAACCAGCGAATTTCATCGTTAGTACAATTGCGGAGGCGGAGAACTTGTTGCCGTACTTGTGCTATGCGCAGGGGGTGGGAAGGGAAGCCAGTGTATGTCCCAAATATCACCATCAAAAAAGTATTACTGACGTTTGCTCTCAAGGTACTTTACGGCGTACCGGTCCCTCAATCTGGAATTCCACGCCTCATTTCTCTGGCCTCAAAATTGCAGCCGAGATCGGTCAGTGTCATCATCGACAACGAGGCGGCTTTTCTCAAGTTCCACGAGCGACTCGCTGCCTCTGATACGGAGCTGGAGATAGGAGTTTTCATCAAAATCGACACGGGCTACGAGCGTGCTGGCATCAAGACTTCATCTCCGGGTTTCCCATCACTTGTCAAGACGGTAGTAGAGAAGAGCCAAGAGCCAACATCTGGATGCTTCTTGCAAGGCTTCTACTCGCACTTCGGACACTCGTACGGTGGATCTTCAGAAGACGATGCCGCGAACGGTCTCATCGAGGAACTGGTCGGTCTAGAAACAGCAATCAAGGCTGTTCCCGAGAGCTTTGACGGAAAGTTGGTACTGAGTGTAGGCGCAACACCCACAGCGACAGCAGCACAGAATATGTTGTCCAGCTCCAGCCCCAAGGTCCAGGAGTTCCAAGACGTACTCCAACGTCTGCAGAAAGATCACGTTGTTGAGCTGCATGCAGGGGTATACCCGTTGCTAGATTGCCAACAAGTCGCGACACATGCTAGGCCATCGACTTCATCTAGTGGAGCCACGTCATCCTTCCAGCCTCTCTCCAAATCTAACATTGGTATCCGGATGTTGCTCGAAGTAACAAGTGTATACAATGAGCGATCGAAGCCTGAAGCTCTAGTATCCGCGGGCTCTCTAGCGATGGGTCGCGAACCTTGCAAGTCCTACCCCGGATGGGGTATTGTTACGCCTGCACTAGGCAATGCTTCCGCTAAGCACATATACGACGAGCGAGAGGGCAAGACGGGATGGATCGTTGGACGCATCAGCCAAGAGCATGGTATCTTGACATGGGAGGGCGATAGGAGCGAATGCAACGAGTTGACGATCGGGGATAAGGTTATGGTCTGGCCAAACCATGCTTGTGTGGCTGGCGCTGGGTTCGGGTGGTATCTTGTGGTCGACTCGGACGCGGGTGGAGATACGGTCGTGGATGTCTGGGCCCGATGGAGGGGCTGGTAATCGGACACAGGTGTAGGTTGAGGCGTTATGATCGCTCGATATTACTCGGCTTCCGATGCTATAACCCATGTCAATATAGTTGTAAGAGAACCCCATTCATACATCCAAAGCGATGCTGGGTGATGGGACTCGTATGCCCTCGTATTGTTGGACCTCAACCGGCGTCGTCTCGACTCTGCGCTGCCAGTATCGCGCGTGGATGGCAACAACTCAAAAAGTAACGAGTCTGGCGTCTCCAATTGCCCAATCTGCGCGTGTAGTTTGATGACTTTGACTTTGCTCACACTCCGAGTTGACATTCCTGCAGGCTTGTACGACTCGCGCAGCATCTGGTCCTGGCGCTGTCGGCAAGAAAAGCCGCTGACGACTTCCGCCAGTATTGTCCTGCCCATCGCGTATGTGTGCGCGGATCGTTCTGCAGTCTTCAAACCCGTCTGATCCGATCCGGGACGAGTCGCATTTCGCGGCGTAGAATGTCCGGCACAGCTACATCTCGTTCGTCGGGTTCGGGTTGCGGCGACGGGATGGAAGGACACGAGTTTCGTGGTTTGCTACTGTAGCGTCGCGAGAGGGTAGTTCGCGCCGTTGTTTCTTGTAACGTTGGTCTGCATCTTGATCAAACTTTCTATTGTTGGTGCCTGCCAGCCGCTCTCTAGCCCAGCGCCAGAAGCATGTTACACGGGCTGGTAGATGGAAGAAGTGATGGTCGCTGGGTGAAGCTTGCCGATCGCGTGCCCTGTGATTGGATGCTCGTGACCCGTAATATGCTTGCCAGGCACAAGCACAAGTTTGTAGTTATGCGCGTGCATCCCAAAGCTTGGGATCCATAGCTTCCCGCGGAGATCGGCCAGGAACCGTGGCGCTTGGTAAACTCACGTTGGAGCCCATTCATGACGTCTGCTATGGGTTGCGCCATTTGGCAGCTAAAACATCAATCGGGATATGATAAGCCTCGGCACTTGACCTGACCGAGTTGGAAAACGGCGACATGGCGGGATCGTCGCTCAGGGCAGCCATAGGAAAGCTTGGGGGCGTTCCTGGGTGTGTTGCTGGCGGCTGCAATGCGTCTTCTAGCGCACACAGTGAGGATGCCACGGCCAAAATGCCAAACCGCCAAATCACCTGCTCGACACGTTGCAGCCAGCTAAAGGCCGCGGGCGGTCTAGAAAACGGATATCTGTAGTAAAGGGCGCCGCTGGGGATAGGCACTGCCAAAGTTTATTCTTGTTTGAGGCTTGCCCGTCTGCTCCTAGTCGTGAAGGCTGTATGGTGGAGAGTAGCCATGGCTTCCCCGCCCTGCCTCTGGATACCAACCGTCTCGGGCACTAAGGCATCCGCCAGCCTGCTTGCGGGCAAGCCTCCTGCACTACCTGCAGACCTCCTGGCGACCAGAAACCCCCCGTCTCTGTGCCAGATCCCAGGCTGATCTGTGACCTGTGACCTGATGACTGACGAACCGAAGGGGTCCTTGAACCTTAGGACCGTGTCCAGTCTTCCTTCCGCCATCTCCGGCACCTTCAACATTTCCATCCCCTGCGGCGTAGACTCTGCACACACAATGCCATCCTGCACCATGCGTCTTTAAGAAGGCCCGACGACGATACACCCTCCAGCGCCCCGGCCTCGACAACCCAGTGTTTCGTGCTTATGCACAGCCCATATCCTTGAACTGCGAGTTTGGGCTTGCATTGGCTTTGGCTTCTGTAGCACCATAATCCGAGCTGGAGTAGCATCCACTCGCTACTCGCCATGGTTCCTTTTCGACGCTTATCGCAGAGGGGCCGTCGCAGCTTCGACAACCGCGACTCCTACGAATGGCAAGACGAGCGAGACAAACGCATCATGACGGCCACCTTCCCCATACACCCCCTCTCCTCCATGCAGGCGCCCTTTGAGGAGTCGATGCTCGACGCCACTGGCGAAACGGGGCACGTTCCCTTCGCCATTCCCAAGAAGAGCGTTAAGACGCGACAGCAAATGCTGTGCAGAGAGGAGAATGCCTCTGAGCCCTCGTGGAACTTCACATACAACTGCCACTGGAGGAGCAACGCAAAGGGCAAATTTCATCCCCTAACAAAGACGGTCGCGCAGATCATCTTTGGTGTCCACCTGCTGCATCAGCATCTGGAAAAGTCCGTCGCCGATGTCGCCGACATATTGCTCAAGCATGTCAATGAGCTCGACAGTTTCCTGCAGCGGGCGAATGAAGACCTCGAAAGCAGCATGAAGGACATGCTGTTCCGGCATAAATGTCTAAAGGTGCCCATGGAACACGTAAACGAATTCGATCGCCTCCTCGAAGACCGCTCATACCGCGCCCAACTCCTCGACGGCAACATCGTAATCGAACGCACCATTGGGCGCATGTCGCAACTGCTCAACGACTACCTGATCGACATCAACGTATTTCGCGAAGCCAACCAGGAGCTCGATCTATACCTAGGCGATGTGGGAGACGAATGGACATACCGCAATGAGGATATCGGGCGCATATATTCAGCCATGTGTGGCAACACCGGAGGCTGGTCGCAATTCTTGCAAAGCCTCGTAGCAAAGGCTGAAAGGCTGGGCGTTGTGCTCGTACAGGTCAGCAGTTATTGCAATGAGATCGAGAAGCGGTGTGGCGCTGCAAGTCGCAGAAGTTTGGTATGTTCGCTGCCGGAATCCGCTTCGAACCCGCTTCGTGGGCTATGTTCTCAGCTGGAGCTTCGCTAACAGCCCTAGATTGCGACACGTACATCTTCACGAAATTCGTCCAATTCGCGCGAGGCACGCCCATTTCGAAACTTTGCCAACAACAAACCTCTTCCAACCCCCCCACCCGAACGTCCGCCATTCATGAGCGCATCATCATCCGGTAGGGAGACGCCTGCCAGCTTTGGCACACCCCAGCGACATTCGACTTTGCGAGCGAGGCCGCAGCAGCAACAGTACCAACAACAGCAGCAGCAGCCCGAGATCACAAACGCATCCGATTCCACCACAGAGACGCCCAAACGGAGCGAAGACTCGTCTTCTGCGTCTGCCGTTTCCAACACAGACGTCGATGTACGACGTCAGGCAAATCAGTCCGGGTACTACCGTGATGCCTGGCGCAACGACGAGCAACGTGACGGAGCGACACCGCATGCAGAGTCTAGTGGTGCAACACATGTTCCGGGGCACCAGCATAAAGTGTCTTCGCCATCTAACCTATCTGCAGAGGAAAGCGCATCAGCAACGAAACGCATGTCGGCGAAACCACAAAACGGAGAATACAGTCCGCCTTTGACCGGCAAAGATTCGGCATATTGTTCTGTGTCAGGCGCCTCAGCCGTGTCACCGGGCTACGCATCGCCACGCTCCGTGTCCTCCATGTCGTCGCGACAAACTGCCCAATTTGGTCTTTTCCCTAGTCGAAACTTGAGTACGCCGAAAGGTTCCATGTCGAGTCGATTAGGTGCCAGCTCTCCTACGTTCAATCGTCCTGAGCAAACCCCAAAGGCTGCAGACATGCCAAGCCGACCACCAACCTCTCTGTCCACGTTCTCAGATGCTTCGAACAAGCGACTTTCCAAGCGAAGTAGCTTCTCATCTCTCAAACGGCTATTCACCAAGAAGAAATCTGGCGATATAGGTCCTATCGCCGAGTGATACCCTCTAGTTTGATCTTTGTTATCCCTTGTCCCGTCCTTGGTCCTCTTGTCTGGCGTTGCAAGGCTATATACCCCTTTGACTTTGCGTTTCTGTGTATTACGCAATCCAAATCTCATAGTCTTTGCCGTGGTTCTGCCCAGCGTTCTCGATGGCTTCGTGGGGCTTTCGCATGTATATATTTTCGCCCCGGTAGATGTAACGCGGTAACGAGCAACGTGTAATGTCTTTAACTTCGTGTGCGGACGTCATCGCGGCAGAAGGCGGCGCCGTGCGGAGGACGTCGGTGATGCGGTGGTCTGGTGTGCTTGCTGGGGGCAGTTTCGGAACGGGTTGCTGTTGGATGCTGCGCTATCCTGCGCATGGTGGGCAGCTGGGGTGCGAGAAGGAGAAGCGAAGAGCTGCTGGCTGCTGGCTGCCGGTTTGGCGCCACGGGTGGTAGGCCCGCCGTAGGGGTAGGTATGGGAAAGCTGTACGCACAAGTAGGTAGGGACCATTCTCATATGCATCTCTGCTACTGACCCTTTCTGTATCGTCTCTGTATTCCTTCTGTGTCTGATGTCTCTGCCTTCCTCTGCGAGATGCTGGCGGGGTAGGGGTAGCCTTTGCCGTAATGGACGTGAAGGAGGCGCGAGTCTCGCTATCAAAACAACGTCTCCGCCGAGCTCCCTCCGTCTCCTCTACCTTGCCCCCACCCACAACAGCACCACACTCGACAGCTTTCTCCTTTTGGCGGAGATGTTGGCGAGGGTTGTGTAAAGGTCACCCGCTTTTGTCTTTCTTGGATACTCGCCGCCTTGTGCAGTATCGCTTCTTCTTTTTGGTTATACCAATAACTACCACATCTTTTGGCAGCGCCGCAATCAGGAGAGCCACCACTGCAGCAGCTTCGCTCACGCCCTGCGTGCAACCTTTGCTTGCTCTCCTCGCAGCGACTTTCGCAGCCGACGGCAGTATGCCGCTTTTCGATCAGGATCCCAACGGCGGCGGCCGCAACTCGCGAGCCTCCAACGTCTCTGCCATGAGCCGAGCATCAGGTAAACCCGTATCGCGGGCACCCAGTGCAGACCTTCAACCTCTGAACCGCGGCGTCACGTCCATGCTCCGCACCGAGACCGAGATAGGCGACGTTAGCATCGGCCGTCCTAAGTTCGACGACTTGTCTGCCATGAGCAACGCACCACGTCCGCTGCGTTCGCGCGCGACCAGCAGGATGTCGCAAGTTTCTTCCACGTCCAACACTTCCAGTCGGGGCAGTAAGCAGCACTTCCGTTCCTACCCCTCCTCGTCTTCTGCACCGCGCCAGCCAATGCAACACCATGGGCCCGTGTATAATGCCGACACGCTGTCTCCAACGATGATGAACGCCACCGGATCATCGCCTTTCAACAACCGAAGAGACAACCGCGACAGGGACGCGCATCGCTCGCACTCGATGACGAATACCATACAACCCCCAGCGTACGGTCTCTCCAGCAACAGGTCTATTCCCAGCTTGCGCCCTCGGCCAGCGTCCCGATCTTCGAACCCAAGCCCATACTATGCACACCCCGCCGGGGGTGGTTCCAGGCAGCCTGTTCCATACTCGCGATCGGTCCAGTCCGCCATGAGCGACGACAGCGGAGTACACTTCCAAGGGCCGCGGGGCTACGACGGTCAGCGACTGCCCTATGCTGGCCACGCACAAGGCTACGGCAACCCAGGATACACAAATCATACGTATCGGCAGCAGCATGCTGGACAAGGACAAGACCAACGAGGCTTCCACAACGGACAGGGCCCCGGGCAGATGAGGACCAAGAATCCATCCTCTCGGTCTACGATGAGCCTTGAAGATCCTCCCGTGGAAGACGACGACTTTCCTCCCTACCACGCGGCTTTCGGACAACTCGTGTCTCGCAGGATGACAGGCAACTCCGCCCGCGAGCCTCGTTCAGAAGATCGAAGAGAGCGCAGGCGTCAGGATGAACATCAGCCACCTTTACCAGCCGATCACCGCCAACGGATCGCTGCTGAACAAGCTCGTCTCAAGAGGTCTGCGCCTGCTTCCATGTCCAGTTTTAACACAAACTTGCGTACCGAATCAGAGCCGCCATCGTCCGACATGACGATGCCACCAACTCCGAAAGATGGTAGCTCCATGGAAGTGCACCGAAACCTCGATAGAATCAAGGTCTTCAAAGCCGCCAACCCGAACCGCCTTGTTATTCAGGAAGAGTATCCTTCAGTACCATACTACGACACGGGTGATCAGCTCGGACCTGTGGAGTCTGCTGACCCAGGGACGGAGGCTAATCCAGTCGGCTTCATAGACCGGAAGATAACCACTGTCGAGCAGTCTCGTCAGGCTGGGGCGACATTGAAGAGTGATTCTTTTTTAGGACAAGAGGCACGACCAATGTCGATGGAGGTCGTGTCTCCCCACCTAGACAACATCGCTACCATTACCGTGAGGGATTGCGAAAAGACCTCGATCTCGATCTCGAACGCGAACGCGAGGCCGAGCGCAAAGCCCGGAAGCATTCGCGAAAGCGAAATTGCGGAGCTCCCAGCGTCCCCAGTAGCTCACCGCATCACAAGGAATTTGATCCTAAGAGGTCTGGAGGCTTCAACGACGGGCGATATCCAGTCTTCGATGGAGTTAGTAACCTCTTCGGGGCCATCTCCCTCGCTCCCGAGCAAGCCTCCATCTCCGTCAAGAAAGTCCCCCGTTCCAAGGTCTCCGACACAACCCTCAAGGCCAAAGTCTCCGATACCACTATCAAGGCCAAAGTCCCCGACACCGCAATCACTGACGACGTCTCCGACACCGCAGTCGCCGACAAAGTCGCTGACAACACGGTCGCTGACACGAAGGTCGCTGACTCCGGGGCCTCTGCCGCTGTCGAAGACCAATGAGGTCACCCATTCGTGTGATATACCTGTTAAGAAGTACTTTGTATCTGATATACCTCGTGGGGCCGTATTGCATTCGGCAGACCGCGGAGAAAACCGCCACAGTATCTTATCGCAGACTGGATCCAGCATCCTCGACTCGTCCACTCTTGAATTCGCGATCCAGCATTCCATACCAACGGCCAATAGCGGTGGCTTCCAGAACGAGCCCGGTGTCAAAATTCATGCTACCACGAACATGTCTCTCAGTCCTGGTAATAGTACCGGCGATGGCATGTCGGATGTTCTTGCAGGATATCAGGGATCTGATTATAAGAACGAGACCGACGCTTTGGTACGAATCGAGACGGCCAACGAGAGCACGTATGAGGAGCACACAGATGCTTCAACAGAAAATGACATGAAGCCGCTGCCTCTTGCCCTTCGATCCAGAAGTAGCCACGCACAAGGGTCGTCCGATGAGCTGTCCTTCAAGTCTTGTACCGATCTGCCAGATGTCTCTTCAGGCTTGATACCATCCGAGCCAGGGAAAGAAGACATCAAAGCGTCTTCCACATCCGCCATTGACTTTGCGCCGCAGCGAGATACGGTATCGAAGGAAGCAGACACTCATTCTTTTGCGACTGGTGTGCACCCTATCCGTGCTAGTTTCGCAGCTCCGCCTCGACTCCAAACGTCCAACCTAGGAACGGTGGTCTTGAATCAGGGCAGGACGATTGTGGAGGCACCCTTGTCCAAGCCCTCTTCTGCTATGCTTCGCAAACAGCCTCCTATACCGCGTCGGGAATCCAGCTTTTCTATCGTAGCGAGCAAATTGCGGACTAGCTCCAAGCAGAGCATGAAGCAAGGCTCGATATCGGTATCTGGTTCGTCATCCACGCTGGGCACTACGCACCAGGGGCCAGCGGTACCGCCCCGAGAGTCAAGCACTTCCAAGGAGGCCCAACGTGTGCACGCCGCAGTCTCGTTCTTGATGCGTCCACTACCGTTGCGCTTTGCCAGGTCTCGGAAGTATACTGACCAAGAGGAGCTACCGAAGTCAGATGAGACGGTCCCATCTGCTTCCAGTTCGAGTCAAGACACGGACGGCGTCATCAGTCTCAATGAGATGACCAGCTCACCGCCGCCCGCCATGGAGGTAAAGAAGACGCCGCAAGCACCGTCGACCAGGCCAAAAGGTGTACCTGTTGCGAAGACGCGAGCTATCAGCTTCGACACTCCGAAAGCTTGCAACCCATCCAAGATGCCCGGTAGTAGCCCGGCTCCTGTTGCGCAACCAATCGACAGCCCGGTTCCTGCGATTTTGGAGCCCTCCTCTGTGTACTCGATCCATGACACCTCCTCAGGCTCATGTGTAGACTCCGCGGATGGACTTCCGGTAGCCCAAGAGCCTGGCCATCGTGACAGCCAGACTACGACACACCTCGATTGGAATGGATATAGGCCTTCCTCCCACGGTGGTGGCCTCCAGCAGGTGTCGCTACGCCCTCTGAGCGGTGTTGGAAATGTTTTGAATTCTTTGGGATCGGGTCCTTTGTCCAACATCCAAGAGAATACTACGACGGACCTCAGATTATCCGGATATAGGTATCCTGGCCCTGCGCGTTATCTGCCTGACCTGAAGGAGGAGTCGCATGAGGACTCGAGCCTCAACACGAGTGCCAGCAATCTGAAGAGCTCGAGTTACCGCTTTCCGTTCGGCGCGCCCTCGGGGGTCAGGGCTTCGGGAGAGGAACCGATCAACTTCTCGGGAAGGTCGTCTACAGCGTCGCATCGTCGGAGTGCTGTTGGCAGCAACGTGGGTAGCGCGCTCGGACAGGCACACGGTTTGCCTTCGATGCGGTTTAGTCGGATGAATCTGTTCGATGGTCTGACCGAGGACCTTGGCCTTCGCTACTCAAGGTCAATGGAAGAGGTGCCCAATGCGTCGCAGAGGGTGAGCAGAGGTAGTCCGCGGCCTGCATCAGCCGGTGATGTCACGGACCTGCGCCTTTCTCTCGCCGAATTGAATGAAGCGGAGCGCTCAGGGTTGTCAATGCAGCCTACCGCCATGATCAACTTGTTCGCGATGCACCGTGCTCGTTCACCGGAGCTCATGGCAGAGATTGAGCGGCTGACCATACCTTCTGTCGGAGGGCTTACCCAGCGCCTCTCAGAGATCTTCCCGTCGTTGAGGGAATACTACAAGTGCGGTGAGCCAGCCGAGTTTCCGATTGAGGAGGAGATGGAGAAGCACGCATTGGAGGAGATCCATGAGATCCATCCGACGCAGAAGCGCTCGTCTGCTCGACTTCGCCCCATGCGTGGCGTCTCGCACATGGTTGTTATCGAGGACGATCTGTATGATGAGATCACAAGCAAGGAGAGGGGGTGTGGCAGTCCAGGCCGTCCCGACGATGGAGTTGGTGTAAACGGCGCTAGCGAGGCAGACTCAAATACAGGCAGCTCCCCCAAGGACGACGACGCACCGAGCACACCAACAAACAACAAGACGACTCCGCTCCCAGAGCTGCGAGTCCCATCACCAGCTGTTCTCCGTCCGCGCTCACATACCGTCGGCCCTCAAGAGCTTCGCATCTCAGGGGAGTCCGCTCTTTCCGTAAGAAGGTCTCTGAGGTCGTTTGTTTCTACGCCCACAGTAACCGAGACGCGTCCCTGGAATTCAGACAAGAATTATCCCTGGGCGACGTCAACAAACCCCGCTATTGACATATCCCTTCCTCGTCCCGCTGCTGCGAGACACTCTCCTCACCCAGGCCCTTCCCACCTCCGCAACAGACTCTCTGACGCGTCTACCACAAGCTCCTTCTCGACAGCGCAGACAGCCACAGCTTCCCCGTTCGGATCACCGGCCGATAGCACCGCACACGCGCGTCATCACCGCTTCAGCACCTTTGGCCGCAACAGCGACCAGCCACACGCAGTCGGTGAACGCTACCCCACCTCTGCCCTGTCACCTCCTACAGCTATCTTCCGCGACCACCTGTCAGCCTCTGACACTTCTGACGACGAGCACTACGATACCACACGCAAGACTAGGCTCTCGCTCCGCAAGCGCTTTTCGTCAACTCGCAAAGCTACGCTTGACAGCCAATCAAACACTCGAGCTGGTCGAAGCAAGACCAACGCACAAGACCTCGCCTCGCCCGAGTCGACCAAGCAGTCAACCACCTCACTCCTCCAAGATCGTGCCGGTGAAGCTCAAGCTTTCACGTCATCTACCACCGCCAACCGCCATACCTTCCGTGACGCGGAGGGCATGAGAGCAGTTGACTACCGCAAACACCGCATCATCGACCGCCTCAAGACCTGGTGGCACAAGGGCTCGCACCTGATCCGTCAACTTTCAAACCGAAAACACTAAACTAGTACAAGTCTCTCGACTGTCTAGCCATCATGTCTGACACCCCTCCTCAACCCCTCTTCGCCCTCGGACCGAACAACACTTTCCGCTATATCGAGCGTCGCGTGTTCCCCTCGGTTCCTCCCGCAAACCCCCCTACCTCTCCCCCTGCCCCCACCAACACCCCTGTCAACACCAACGGCAACGGCAACACCAACGGCAACGGCAATGGCACCGGTTAAGAGAAGTTGGTAGTTCTTCATGGTTTCTCTTCACTTTTCACTCTTTTCATGATGCATGTACTATAATATGGGAATGATTCACGGAGATATGACAAACGGTCATCAAAGTTCATAGCTAGCTGAGTAGCACACGATAGTAAAACTGGTTCTATAATTACTGCTTACTTTTGAGATGTGATGTTCGCGAGGTCCTGGTAGTTGTCTGGATACCTCAACGTCTTGCTGTCTGTACGTGGTGATGATGCTGAAGTCTGCAAACCTGTTTATATCGTCGAGACTTACTAATGTATAACGACGCGACATCCTCCTGGCTCTACTATGACACCTGCGATAGGCAGGTACGCAGGATGATGTAGGCCTCTAGGCATCTTATGCCGTCGTGATAAGCCAACACCTAAGACCTTGAAGTTTGACAGGCTACCATTTGGAAATTCCTCTGAACATCGAGAGTGCGCTGTGGTCTGCAAGGTGAAGTTGCCGTAAGGAGATGAGGACAGACGTGCGCAGCGGGATGACGACAGGTCCGTGGATAATGAGGACTTATGTGCCACCCACCGTCATGTCATAGTCCTTCAACGCATCATCACTGGCATAAGAGTCACCAGAAAAGGTTATAAAAGAAGTCGTTTCGCTGTTCTCTTCAGCTTCTTTCTTTACCACACTCGGAAAGATAAAGCTACGGGTCAATCTCTTCCAATTCTTTACCAAAGCCCACTACTACCGAAACAACTTCAAACCAACACCAAGCTATGAATGAACGTCTCAAAGCACAATGCGTCGAAATAATGGCAGATAACAACTTTAACGGCTTCTTTCCGATTGGCGACTCGTCGGAAGTATGGGCCCCTAAGAACCCAAATAATATACTGCAGCTTGCCACTCCACACTCAGACAACAAACGCAACGTGTGTCTCATGGCGGCTCACTATCCCCACCCAGACGACCCAGACAAAGAAGGCCGCACCGGGATATCGTATGATCTGCGCGCCCATGACAACCTCGATGCGCTGAGGACATTGGCCAGCAACAAGGGTGTCTTTCAGGGAGTCGAGGACTGTGTGCGCGACAACGGTGCGAGAGTCGTCATGTGGTTCGCAATACGCAAGTGTTACCCAGCAATTCCTGTAATTCTGAATTTGCATTTCTGACTTTGCGATAATAGTGACAAGCGGCAAAGCTGATGTCACCAACGAGGACACGATGATTCCTCTATCGGTCATTTGGGCTTGGGATAAGGCCGATAAGAAGTATGAGCCTACGTCCCTGGTACAAGCAGGTTAGGGTCTTGTTACGAGACGAGCATGTCACTGACGAGGTCACTGGTCGGAATGCTCTCGAGGTTATAGAGACAGTGGTTGGAGACACACTCCTTTGTAGATAGTACACTTAAGATGCATTCAGAGATATACGGGAAAGAAGTCTTGAGTACCTTCTGGAGTGATGTGACATCCAGGTACATGAACGCCTTCTGGAAAACCCATCACCTCGTTTACTCATTCACGATGACTGATTCTTGATCGCTGAACACTGAACACTTGCATCAAATCGTTTGGCAGTGTGAGAAGCTGCTGTCCGGAAGATGGCAGGTGCATGTGGGCCGGTGACACATGCAGGTGCGACACGAATACACCTGGAAAAAGCGTTATCACGGCTGGCGCTTCCCTGGAATGGGGGAGAACTGCACAGACTACAGGAACTGAGAAGAATGTTTGTCTACCTAGTCATGAGTCCATCTCACGCTGTGCTATCGTGAACTTATAGACAACTATATATCTCGCACTTGTTGTGTCCCACTTCTTACGTGTCTACCCAAGTTCAAAATGTCCGTGACCGACCATAGCCTAAAAGAATCGTGCCAAAGTCTCATGCGCGACTGGGACATATGGTTCTACGAAGGTTGCGACCCAGCTTTTGTAGAAGCCAGGCCCACTTATCTCGCATCCTCGGAAGACCGCCAGGTCGCCTTGCTAGCCATGTATAAGCCAGACGCCTTTCCTCAAGGCGACGGAGTACATGTTAACATGAGAAGTCCGAAACTGAAGGACGCTTTAGATGACCTGGCAAGAGAGCATGGTTTAGTAGGTTGTTTAAGACATCCACGGCACCAAATCGCGTTTTGGTTTTGCAGATGTGAGTCTGATATGTGCAATTTGAGCGCGAATGACCCAAGCAGAGCTCTAATCTTTTGTTATCCATAGTGGCAGACTACGAAGCGGGCGATAGGATGGGATGGGACGACTTACCACTCGGCGTTATTCTCCTTGATGGTCTAATTCTACTCGGCCCTCCTGAGAGTGCTGGCTTGTGAAAGGCACAGATGAAGGTTGGGATATCGTGGTTGAGCTAAAGAGTGGCGGGTACACGTTTTATACGTAAATGATTTGTGGAACATGCAGACGATAAGACTCCCGTCCGAGAAGACTGCAACTCTTGTCGGTGGTTTCTTGTCAGTTGGCACGTATTGATCGACCGTACGGGCGCCTTCTGGCTCTATAGCTTATGCTTTCTTTGTTCCGTGGACTGCAAACAGTGACAGCTGTTATTCATAGCCCAGGGTAGCCTCTCACGGTTGAAATCACATCCCAATGCAATGCGCAATCATGTCTGAATCATTTCATTTCGTGTATGTCCAGCTTCGAGAGCTGTTTCATAGCCACACGTCTGTTCAGACCGTTGACACTCCTTTGTAATCCTTGTGCGGACCAAGCCCTTATGCGGCGATGGTAACCTCAACCTCGACACCGGCCTCGATGTTGATGATGATCTGCTTGACAACCTCGGTGGGAGCGTGGAGGTCGATGAGGCCTAAGTCCGCAGTTAGCTGCTGTCCGGCCGACTGTCTGGAGTTGTGTGCACTTACGCTTGTGGATGCGCATCTCGTAAGTGTCCCAGGTCTTGGAACCCTCACCGCAAGGAGTCTTACGGGTGGTGATCTTCAAGTGCTTGGTGGGCAGACGGACGGGGCCCTTGACGCGGAGCTCCTTGTTCTTGGCACGGTCGATGAGCTCCTGGCAGACCTTCTCGAGGCTCTTGACGTTGCGGGAGGTGAGGGTGATGCGGATCTGAACGTGCAGTCAGTATACAGCCTCGTGCGCATCGAATACACGGCGACGTACCTTGTGGATCTTGGGGCCCTCGCCGAAGTCCTTCTCGCCCTTGTTGTAAGACATCTTGTCGGATTGAAGTGTGGTGTTGTTGTAGGTTCTGAGTTAGATTCCAGTCACGACCTGGATCCTTGATCGCGGTAATGTGATGACTGGGGTGGCGTTAGAATTTGCGACGGCGTTCGGAGTCGTTGAGTTCTTCGCGATGCGCATTTTCGATCTGTGGGCGATGCGCGCCAAGATTGCGGACGCTAGTGCCGTAACTGGTATCGCTCCCTTTTGATCGCTCGGCAGGCGGGCCCATGAGCCATCATGACTGCATGACTGCAGACAAACAACAGAAATTGAACCTTCCAAAGACTTCTCGCGTTCCTTACACAGTGCATCGTCCTTCTGAGCTCGGCCCTGGATTTCGTCTTATAATATCGTCAACAGAGATGTCGTTACCCCACTTCGCGCCATTCCCAGACGCAAAAGTCAGAAAGAGCATACTGCCCGACGAATGGCAGCTGTACCTGGATTCGTGGGCTTCGCTAGCTGAGCTCTATCTGAGATTAGAGGACCAAAAGTTCTCGGACGCGACCAAAGAGGAGAGCTCTCTCACGCAATTTCTCCTGTCTTTCTATCATGAATTGGCCGTGGACGATGAGCTAGCATTTAAAGTTGCGTCATTGCGGAAGAAGACTTTCTTTTTATTACACAGAATTCTTTCCAAAGAAGAGATACCCACTCCATTGTTCAGCTGGTCAGCCCTATCTGACATCTGTCATGCGTATCCCAAGAGCGAGCAGTTCCGTACGCTCTTGCAAGGGTCATGGAAGCGAAAGGGTGCGGCAATCGAGAAGTCGTTGCAGACAGCGAAAACGTCCCTGATCCGGAACTTGGAATCAAAGCGACCGGAAGAGGCCGAAAAGACACTTGATCGGATTGCACCTCTTCTCAGAGCCTCGTCAGATGCCAGCATGTTCATGCTCACAGGGTCCGACTTCCTCGACTCTCTCCTTTCCGCATACCCACAAGTTCCTCAATCGATGCAGAAGAAGCTAGTCACGACTGCATACCTTGGTCTAACAGCCGCGCTAGAAGGCCCAAAACCGAATTATTCGCTGCTCTCTGATCATCTGTACAGCCTGAAGTCTAGTGAGGAGCAAGATCAGAAGAAGGAGCCTGGTAAGAAGACGCTGGTTGCTGATCTTGTCACCAACACACCGCTACTGGAGAAGATAAGAGAAAAAGCTACTACTCCGGAAGCAACAAGAGTAAAGAACACTGCAGCATCATTGAGCGCATTTCGGCAGTCTAGTCTAGCTCGGCCGAAGAGGTTGATTCGACGAAAGGTAGACAAAGGCAAAGCAGCAGTGGATCAAGATAGCTATGGTCACGGAGCATTCACAGGCGAGATACACGTTCACCGGATGAGTATGATTAGCCAGATCCAGGATCTTTTTCCAGACCTGGGTGCAGGCTTCATTGTCAAGTGCTTGGATGAGTACAACGACGACATCGAGCAGGTTACCGCACATCTTTTGGAAGATTCGCTACCGCCACACCTGATCGAGGCCGATCGGAGCGAGAAACTGTAAGCACTTCCACTTGAGCTTCTGCCATCATAGCTTCAATCACACATACTAACGCATGCTAGACCCACACCGACAACAGCCTCACAGCCAATGCCACCACCAAGATCAAGCCAACACCTCCCAGAACGGCGCAACGTATTTGACGACGACGAATTTGACAGGCTTGCAGTTGACACATCGCGATTCCACATTGGTCGCAGGGGTCAGGATTCGACCGCCGATAAGATCTTGTCCGACCGCAGTAAAGCACCCGCCAAATCAGCAATCATGGCTGCGCTGGCTGCCTTCGATTCAGATGACGACGAGCGAGATGACACGTACGATGCAGAAGACGTCGGCGCATCTGTCGATACTGCTGCGCACGGACCTGGAGAAGATGCCGACTTGGGTGATAAGAATGAAGAAGCCCTATTCCGCGCTTACACCATGACGCCTGAGCTGTTCGGTCGTGAGTCGGAGACAAGGCGGGGTAAAGCCCGAACAGCCCTCAAGAGCGAGACTGGTATGACCGACGAAGCAATCGAAGGCTGGGCCATCGTGATGGGGCGCAATCCTCGCGCACTGCGGCGGCTCGAAGCGAAGTTTTCCAATTTCCAGGGTCAGCAGCGAGAGCTTCAGTCAACAGCATGGCGGGACAGCCCTGCGGGATCTGGCGACGAAGCGAATGGTGATGGGCAAGGAGGTCGCGGTGGAAGAGGCGGCGGCGGCGGTAGAGGAAGAGGTAGAGGGCGCGGACGTGGTGGCCCAGGTGGTGGAAGAGGTGGTGCCAGCGTCGCAGGTCCTGCTGACGACAAAGGTACGCAAATATCACGGCAACGCAAGGAAGCCAATAAGGGTTCAAGTGCGAACCATAATCGGAAGGCTCAACGAGGAAAGAAGATGGCCCGAGCAGGTTTCCCAGCAAGCTGAGCGGACATTTTGTTCACTCCGATTAGGAAACAAGACTTTATTCTTGTCGTCTTCACTGCATTTGCATTCAGGTCGAACGTCTACAAGTTTTAGACGAGGTTGCAGTCGTACCTTCAATGCAAAAAGCGTAGTAGCACCACCACAACCTAACGATATCAGGATCAACCACCCTATCGCCCAACCCCGCATCTTTACCCAAAAAGTTACCCAAGCCACGCACCCCCATCCCCTATCATTCCATCCCCCCTCTCCAAAAAAAAAGGCGCGTAGCTAATAAGCTCTCCGACGGGGAATCGACTGTTTGCACGGTTAGACAAAGCCCAAAACATCACTCAAGAATACGTAGTACATACACCCCGGTCTCCCGCGCTTGTAAACACTTCGTGAACATTTGACAAGCGGAAATCATGACCACTAGACCATCGAAGATGTTGCTGTTACCGTCACATGACGTAAGCAGATGGGTATGTGTGTTTGATGAAAGAAAGGTCAAATTATGCATCTATATTTCCTGAAATCATGGTTTTGAGGGGGGTTTGGCTTGGGTGGCAAGTATCACGCGGCCAACACCAATGGTTGGCATGCGGGGTAGGCTCGTGGTGCCATGTGGTGATGGCACCCGGGCTTACCGGATATCAGTCAGCCAGTTGGGGGGCGCAGGGTCGTGGATGAAATGGCATGGCTGGGTTTTGTGGCTGGGAATTTTAGTTGGCTGATGCCCAGGTGTGGGAAACTTCAAAAACGCGTGCGCGACTGCGCGGCATGCTGGAACGAGACGCGACGACGACATACAAACGTCCGGGAATCATAGAAAGCATCGTAGAGCGCTCAAGCGTGTTCTGTGATTTCTCTAACGCGAGAGGCAAACATTTGCCCCTTTAACCGCTTCTGTGCGTGCCAAAACGCTGATTCGCTTAGGTCTTTGGGCGTAGTTTGCGCGCAAGGGGCCTGCGCAGTACTCCCGTGCTCCCTAAAGGCGTCCTCACAAACTCCACCCATGCATCGCATCACATCGCATCACATCACATCACACGTTGGACTCATCAAATTAATGGTACCACCATATATTCAGCGCATATTTTTGCGCGGTATCTTCATGAAGTCGTGATAACTGAGCACCTCTCCGCTGGAAGGCCGGTACAAGACGTAGCACTACGCCACTACTCAAAGTCGGCGCAAATACCCGTTGTTGTACTTCCACAACTGCTCCAAGCACACCGCAGCAGCAACGTACTTCCAGCTCCTCAATGTGCGGTAGTTCTCCCAACCATCCGTCTCTAGCGCGACCATGAAGCACGCAATGGAGCGCGGCAACGCCTCAGAATCCGCATCGCCGTCCCAGTCTCCATCACCCATTACTATATTCTTGATCATGTCGCTGACATCGCGATTGAAGCGTTCTTGAACCTCGAGGTTGGCTTCGCGGACGTAGCGGGATGGTGCACGATCTTTCTTGCCAAGGATGTTACCGCTAAACACCTCGAGCTCAGTAAGACGAGAGCCTCGAGACGGACGATGTGTGTCCATGATTTCGAACATGTTCTCTTCGTACGCTTCACGGAGTTGTTCTGCGAAATCCCAATGATGTTCCCATTGTACTCCACGGGTCTCTCGGATCACATATCGCTTGAGTTTCTGCACCAGCGTCTCATCACCCCGGCGATGGTGAGATGTTCGGTAGGCGTTCTTCATCTTATCGAAGAACGTCTTTTCGTCGATACGCCGATACAGAACGCCTAGGATCTTTGTGCTTGTGTAGTATGAACTCCTTGGTTTCTCAGCATTTAGCACACTCACTTCATCGAGCTCGTCGCCCTCAAGCTCCTCGAGTTCAGCTGCGCCCAAGTCGTTGACGATAAGGTTCGATCCTGGCGCCATGAAGTCAGGGCGGATGTGATCAGAACCCGGCGGTATCTGAGTCATTTTGGCAGGAATCCCAGATTTGCCAAAGTCAACGGCATCGGATGCGAGCTTGGAAAGAAGCAGGCAGTCTGCATCTAGAGTGCCAAAAGGAGCCTTATCAGCGCGAATCTTGTGTTTGTTCGAAATCTGTCCCAATCGATCCATGTTCATGTATTCGATAAAGAAGTCAACGATATCGTCGGCAGTTACCGGCCGCCCCAAATCCTTTGCCGGCGTGGATGGATAGTCAGCGGGTTGATAAACGATTCTCGGAATCAATCGAGTGTCGTGGATGATGTGAAAAAGGTCTCCGTCAAGATCACCGCCACTTAGCTTCGAAGGTAGATCCCGCGGACCTTGCTGTGAGAACACGACGCAGTTGTGCAGTGCCCTGAGCGGCGAACCTTCTGGAACGTCGACTGCTTTAACGACCTGAATATCGCCTGGGTGTAGCGCAGGGGCTCTCGTGATGACTATTCGCTCGCCAACGAGTATGGTTCTCTTTAATTTGTCGTTCGTATCGTAATCTTGTAGCGGAATGTAGACCTCGCCCTCTTTCAGAACATTCCATTCGTCCATGATGCCATAAAGGAGGTAGCCGTTCTTGATCGGAATACGCGCGCGATATTTGATATCCCTCAGACTTGACATAGCTGCCACTTCCACAATGTCGGTGAGGAAGCTGTCCGCGTGGAATGATAGACCCATCTCATTCATTCGCCGAAACAGTGACGGGACTCTCGCGAGATCACCTGAGTGGGAGTATTCTAGCAGCCTTGTTAGCACATATAACCATACGTTCGGGAAGCAGTTCACGGCGATGCCGCCGGGTATGAGGAAACAAACATCCTTTCAGGCCGCACAGTGTGTACTAGAGATTCGGAACTTACCGAGAAGGCTGGCTGCGTTCAGAGGATGCTCCGTCATGAGTTTCAGTTCTGTGACAGCTTCATCTTGGACAGCCATGAAGTTTTCCGCAGGTATACGTAAATCCTCGAGAATCTTGATGAACTGGTGGTTCAGATACACTCTTAGAGGCTTGTAGGCAGCTCCACAGATTTCCAAATCCCTCCACTCTTCTTTGGCGACGTATTTGGTCATACTCTTTCGGGCGTGCAGTTGCTCACCTTGTAATGCAGTATCTAGTGATAGTACGCCCTTCGCACCTCTGAACCGGATCTGAAGCACCGTCGGCCTGAGTGATCTACGGTCCGGCTGGAAGGCGTTCCAAACTTTTTGGAAGAGGTCTAACGACAAGGTTCCGCAGCCGTCACTGAATGTGCGGTTGTTTCTCGTGACGTCGTCCTTCATTTCGTTTACATAGGCGGTTTTCGAGATTGGCACAGAGAATGTTGTATCTAGATGTCGACGAACAACGTCAGCATACACTTCACATACATTTTGTACCGGATTGCACCTTACCGGAGAACGCCTGCCCTATCCTGGCCGCGCACTTTGCGGCGCAATGAATCTGGGAAAAGTCACCCAAATCGCGAATGCTCAATGAAGTCAGTACATGTCCAACACGCAATTCGTGCGTACTTACACATCTCTTGCACAGACGATAATGCCATCTTTCTTGAAAGGAGCCATGAACCAAGCTTCATGAGTACGGAGTGACGCATGTGAAAAGCCGAGAAATTGGAATGTATGTCCGGCGACCGTGATACCGGTTCGAAGTACGCCTCGAAAGCGTTCGAAGACTCTCTCTTGCGATGCCCGTGGGTCATGGAATACCGGTAGCTCGTCCTCGTCTGCGAAGAACACGCGCATGAAGAACTGGGTGTGGGTCTTGTACTTCCTCAATATACGATTGGAGACGACCCAGTCAGGGCCGCGTAGCAGGATACCTAAAATATGACTTTAGTGTTGCAATCTGCAGTATTGGAAGTCTACATACCGGTAGGTGTGACCGTAGCCTTGTATGTTAAGGCGAGGTGATTTTGCTTCTTCTGTTTGACGTCCCAGGTCCGGGAAAGCTCTTCAAGACGTTGACAACATTCGATGCTTTCATCAAGAATGCGCTTAATGGTCTTGATCATAAAGCTTTTCGCTTCAACAGCTGGTGCAGGCGTTGGTATTCGCTTTCCTCTGCGACTGACTGCGTATGAAGTAAGATCTGCCGCCTTAACCCCCGGTGTAGGCGTTGGTATCCGCTTCCCAAGGAGACGAACTGCGTTTGCGGTGAGTTCTGCACCATGCTTCTCAGCAGCATTTTGTACTACTGGTATCAGTTCCTTCATCTTCCACGGGGCGATTGTACCCTCTAGCATGAGCGCTGTCAGTTGGTAACGGATATTGAACGTGAAGGTCTGCGGAAAGGATGGTCCATAGTCGCTAAGCATCTTATTGACGACTGCATACTCGTGTTCAATACTGCCCGTCATAGCGGTGGGCTCCATGGTCTTCATCCATTTTGTGTTAGGTCCCGCGAAGAAGGGCTTAACAAAGGTCCAAGCAAGATCAACGCTTCGGGTGTCGGAGAAGGCGATCTTGTAGACCATACACAAAGCGGAGTTCATGTCGTGGGATTTACTCAACTTGCATAATCTTTGTAGCCGAAGAACTGGTTTTGGCGGCTTGATGCCGAGTCTCGACAATGCGGCAGAGATGTCGTTCGGTGCTTGCTCACCGGCATACAAGTGTAGATCATTGGTCGATTGAATGTCGTAGAACTTCGGTGGAGACTTGAGCGTGAATGTTATCGTTCCGTGTTGGCCATTGCCGCGAGACGGAACGATGTGCTCTATAGTAGCATAATCAATATCAATTCTGCAATGCCAGTTGAAGGCTTCGGCGATTTCTGCCCGGAGGTAAATCTGTGTGGGTCAGCAGCCGTACTAACATTGACATGTTCGATGTAGAAGAATATACCTACCACTAAAGCATTCTTGCCGAACGTAATGTAACCTTGCCTTTTGTCCTTGAGCTTCTGATCAAAGACGAGCTTGCCAAGGTGATCGTAATCCCAAACGCCTGTCATCAGGGTACGGAAAGACAACGTCGACCCTCCCGGACGCTGAAGTTTCGCGATAGGCGTCGGACTTTTGAATCTTTTGGCCTCTTCTATCTCTTGCTTCTCTCTGAGTGACTTGAGTTGGAGCGGATCTTCCCGACGCTTGTTACTTTGGCGAAAGTCGAGCGGCTGATTTCCAAAATAAAGAGGTTGCAGCGCCTGGCGTCGGCCCTGACTACCGCGTATATCCAGAAATCGATTCCCACTGCTAACGCTCGGTACAGTGAGAATGGCGAAATCATTGTGTTGACTGGAAAACTTTCGAACGTCGAATGCGAACACGTCGACGCTGTGGAGAGCGTCCTGAAGGGTGTAACGTAAGAGGACGTGATTGGCGTCTTTGGGAACCTAATGTTACGGCATCTGGTTAGCGACTGCTTTCCTATTCGCGCCCAGCGGTTACTAGCTCAGGTATTGCTGTGAGCTTACTTTCGGAATATAGATGTCCATCTTGAACGACGGTGTTACCTCGAAAGGCTGGCTCACCAGACGTGTGAGTGATAAGCTTTATTGGCACTCCGCAGTCGCGCGAATTGAGGCAAAAGAGTAGACAATGTGAGGCAGGAAGCTACAGGTCGCTGCGAGCTCGCTGACTGGGGAAGTGGGGATGGCGCTAAGGGATTGGGCAAGAACAACCCGTCGACGCGTTCTCACGTGCGCGTTGCGGGGTTACCTTTCACCTTTGAATCTGAACCACAGCAGACCGCTGATAACAGGCACGTAATTGTACTGTGCTGCTTAGTCAAAACTGCAACCATTGTGGATGTGAGAGAATTCGGCTCTGCTGCCTAGTCCTGTACGACAGTCGCGTTAAAAGGCCCGCATGCGGCGTGTCACCATGCGACAGGTCGCTCTGGAGGAGGGTTTACCAAGACGCATCTCTCCCACAAAAGGCAGCGATCATCCCACGCTATTCACGACTCATACAACGCAGCCATCCGCATCTGTACGTATCCCCACGCGGTTACAGGCTCGTACTTCTTCGGCTTCTCTTCATCCCAACAACCTGGCAACGCATCGATAACTGTATCCATATTCGGTGTCGCGAACACGGGGATTGAGTAGCGATCTGGTACTACTATCTCCCTGTCGTTCCGTTTGCCGTCTTCAGTGACATTTTGAAGGACCGGAGGTAGACCAACACGATGCACACTGCTTGTCCAACGATCGTTGCTCCATCTCGCCATGAGATCTCCGATGTTGACCAACACAGTGTCCTCGATGGGCTCTGCAGCACGGAAAGTACCTGGGTTCGCAGGTTCCTGTACTTCAAGTCCTCCAACGTTGTCCTGGAATAGTAAAGTGAGCGTGCCAAAGTCGGAATGCGCGTTGATCCTGCTGCGCTCATTGTTGCGTAGCTGTTCGGCGTCGATAGAGGGGTAGTGAAGAAGCCGGAGTTGAAAGAGCGACTGCGAATGGGTCGGAGAGAGGCCTGGTGCTGGAACGTTGAGGGCAATGGAGAGAGCGTCGAGGATGCTGTGGACTAGACTGGCGCACTCGACAAAGTACTTCTCCATGAATGCGCGAAAGCCCAGAAGCTTATCTTCTGGAAGCCAGATATTTGGCTGAGCCTCATCTTTCACGTTTCCAGACTCGAAGGACTCTTTATAATCAGGCGTCTGCCTCTCATTAGCTTAGACCATGGAGAGCGAAGATGAATGCAACTAACCTCCCTCAGCTTGTTCAGCTCATTAATATCATAAACCCCTTGACTAACCTTCTCCACTCCGGGCGCCGAGTATCCACGATGATGACTGCCACCCGGCGGATGCGGAGCCAGCATCTTGGTCTCAAGCGGTAGATCGAAGAACTTCTTTGACCAAGCAAAGCACTCCTCCACCAGATCCTTCCTCACGCCATGGTTCTTTAGGTAGACAAAGCCCATACTACGGAATGCATCGTCGATCTCCTTGGCGATCTTCTCCTGATCCCCTGCTTTACCGTGCAGGAACGCGCCGAAGTCGACGATAGGTATGCCGCTCATCTCGTCGATGGCAAGGATTAGAAAGTGAGGTGTGGTTGTGATGGAGAAATGAACAGAGGAAGAGGCAGGCGCTGACTCGCGGGTTGCTTCTATTTTGGGTAGATAGGTAGGAACGGCAAGCACGCAGTAGTACAGCGGCGGGGTCAGGTCATCGACAATGCGGGGTACGTTCAGTTGTCGCGAGATGCAGTAACGGATCAGCGTGCGTCAGCGCAATGCGTCTGAATTGTGAGGTGTTTCTCGATACATGCTTCTCCTATAGGATGCATAGAGTAAAACTGCGGCGAAGACTGTTGCCAAGCACGTGATGCTTCCTCGAAGCTATCATCGAGAACAGGCCAACACCAACCTTAGAATGCTATGCATACCAGATGTCCCATGTCCTACCCTTCGTCCTAGAATGCTTTGGTGATCCACCCGCCCCATGACCATGCTACCATACCCAATGCCCTGTGGTTCCACCGCAAGTCCTTTTGCCATCAAGAATCATACACGCCCGCTTCCCATGGAAGCTTACGACTCTCCGAACATGTCTGCCACGCCTGCCAATCCGGGGCTAGTACCTCGGACTATAGTCGGCTGTTGGTCCACACTCATGTACTGCTCCATCATGACAGTCCTGGCCTTGGTCTTCGTCGATCTCTGTATTTTGCCTTGCTCGTGAATACTGACACCCTTGATGCTACTCATGAGATCTAGTACGATGCTGCGCTGCATACGTTCGTCCGACCTGTTCGCTCCACGGAGCTTTGCAAGACGGCGGTCGACGCGATACTGGTCACCCATGCCGGGTAGAGACAAGATGATCGAGCGCGGTATCTCCTCGTCCAGGTGAATGATGCCGGCGATGAGTGAGGCGAGCTCTTTCTGGCAGTCCACAAAGTATGGCTCATGGAGGGACGTAATGGCCGATTTGAGGATGTCATTGCAGAAGTAGTCCCGAATGGGTGACTTCTCCTTGAACCGTGGGAGCAGGGTGCGCAATACGCGGACCATGGTGACAACGGACCTAGTATCGCGATAACGTATTGTTGAGTTGCAGAAGAGGAGGATAGGCTCGAGGACGGCAGGCGTTGAGAGAATGAAGTCGCACATGGGCGGTGCGTTGGCTTCTTTTCGACTGTGTTCATCGTGACGGGCAAATTCTGTGATCAGGTCAGCTTTTAGTCATCAAACACGATTAGGAGACTCGGTACTAGAACCGATACCCGCACGCAGATAGAAGTCGCGAAAGGAACACCACCAAGCACGATAAATAATAGACGACTTACCCTGTCTCGAATCGAGCAGGACAGCCACAAGCGAAACCGCAGCATATGTGAGCTGTCGTAATATGCTCTCAGTCTTCATCTCGTCCGTCAAGTTGTCGTTCTGCCCCGAATCCGCCACCTGTCGGGCGACCTCGTTCCATTCTCCGGAGATTTTTCGATCCAGCTCTCTGAATAGCCCCTGTATCATGGGTGGCAGGAAATGTGGTCGTAGACGCGCTGGGCAACCTTCAATGAGATGGGTGGATACGGTTAGTAAGACAGATAGATGATGCGCAGTCAGAGCGCCTGCGTGGCCAAACAGGGCTTGACTCAACGGGCCTGGCAGATCTTCTATCCCATAGAAGAAGTCTCGAAATCGCGTTAACGAGTAGAGGATGTAGTACGAGCTCTCCCTGATCTGCCTTACAGTGCCTCGTACCGTCGATGCAAACCCCTCAAACGTCGACTTGGAGCCACTAACTCTTGCAAAGAAATCGTCTCGGCTCTCTGTCGATATGCCCGCTTGCCAAAACCGATCAGTCAGTACTCTCCGAATAACCTGCTGTAGTTCTACTGGCAAGTGTGACCAGTTGGCGTCGATATCGTTGAATGCTTGTGCATGGCTCACGAGCTGGAGAAGGTTTGGGAGCAGCACTGGTATGGCCTCTGCCCAGAGTAGCGCAGCAGTCTCGTACGCAGCAGTGCCATCGCGAAGCTTTTCCGTCGATGCTGCCAGTAATGTCTTAGTAAGTCGTAGTGGCAGTTGTTGAGAACGGTCAAGAATTGAGGCCTGCAACGCCTGGCCATCACTAGGCAATTGTTGGTCAGACCAGTCCTGAATGCCGCGGAAGTTGTTCGCAGACAGAAACTCGGGTAATTGGCCCATTCCCAATACGCCACAGAAGGACTGGAATGAAGAGATGGCTTGGGTGAACTCATCGTTGCGCCAAGCATCCTTGACACGGTTGAGCATCTGTCTCATGCGCTCCTCTTGCGTGGCGCGCTCTAATGTTGTACATCTATGTATGATGATGAAAAGGAAAGCGGAGTACGCCATACGTTGGCGTTCGTCAGTCGTAGGATCATTAATCATCTCATTGACCTTGGCCTCTAGTTGCTCGTAGACGTTCATAAAGTCGTCAGCGAATTTCATCGCTAGTTTCTGCATCTCAAGACTGCATATGCGCTCGAGGTCTTTCACAGCATCGGAGTACTGTGGATAATTCGTGTCATCGGCTAGCCGTACTGTAAGCATATACTCCAAGAAGGTAAGAGCGAATCCTGGACGGTCGCCAAGGGCTTTTGTTGAGAGAGTTGCCATCAAAGATATTATCTTTCTCGCAACTTCAGGATCTTCGAAATGCGCTTGCAGGATTTGCCTGCCCCACTGCTCGAGCGAGTCTTCCAGGGTATTCCGCGTCCGCTCATCATCTTGCGCGTTTTCGCCTTGCCCTTGCTGCCACTTCATGTACCCCTTGAGTGCAGCTTCGATGACAGTGACCTGCGCATCGACCTGAAGGACTTGTGGAGAGTTCTTTGTGAAGTTTTGGCGCTGGAAAGCAGGCTGATCATGGTACAGGTTCTGGAGCATGTTTGTCGCCTGAGCAAGGATATGCGCCATTGCCTCTACTGGTGTCTTGCGAACCAGGACTTCGATCACGTCTGCGCAGAAGCGCCGATAGTTGCCTAGAAAAGCATGACGTTCCGGTACTGTATCAATGTCTTCGTTGAGAAATTGTAACGTAACGTCTTCGATATCTTCGGGTAACGATTCGTATCGAATGAGTCGGGCGCAGCACGTCTCAAGTAGCCCGCCAACCATGGAATTGACGACATCAGAGTCTCGCACGATGCTAGATCGTAACAGCTTGGTCCAACAATGGAGAACGGGTATGGAGACGACGAGACTCGGGTTGCGCATGATATCGTATAGGAAACCGAATATGCCGGTTAGGTCGCTGCCATCTGGTATCGATTGGGGCTTTTGCTCGATGAATAGTCCGAGGCTGTTGGCCAACTGTCATCATTAGCACGGTGCGACAAGCCTGAAGGATAAGAAAGGGCCTTACTTCTGAGAGTCTCTTGCAGAGCATGTATTTCTGATCATCTATGTCATTCACATCCATATCCGTGAGCGTCCAGTTGTATACTTCTCGCAGGAGTGAAACACTGCCAGGTGTGAACATGGGGCATACAAGCTCCACAAACTCGTCGTCGTGCAGGTGGGTTCGGTTGTAGATCGCTTGGAGGGTCTCGACGGCGGCCTGTTCGTGTTAGCAGCTGTCCATGTGAGTGGATGTAAAGAGTCGACATACAATCTGCATCTCTACGGCTGGGGTAGCCAGCGCCTTGCAGACGGCCTCGATGACCTGTGTTGCAGCGATAGCCTTGGGCATAATCCACGGCATGGCCGCCTTGAGGGCCTGCATAGACTTGATAGCGCTTGTCTTCACAGCTTCCTGGTTCTGGTAGTCCTGCCCCAAACACCAGCCCAAGTTGTCGCATAGCCTCTTCAGCCATCCTTCGTCTCCACACCGCACATCCAGACTCTTCTCGCGTGTAGGGAGCTGGTCTTGTATGACGGCAAGCGGTGTGAAAATCTCGACACAGGCGCGACCCAGGTCGCTACCTCGGAGGCCTGCCGTAGGGTCTTCGCGATTGAAGACTTCCTCAGAAAGCGTTTCCAGGACGTATAGCACGACAGCCTGGTGGTGCAGAGAACTTGTCCAGAGCGAGACCAGCAGTTCGTCCATATCCAGCCACTCGGCGCCCCAACTGCGCTTCGCGATTTCCGTCCATAGCTGCGCAACCTTGTTCCTGAGGAATGCGGCATCGTCTTCGGACACGTTTTGGGCGAGCTCGATCGCATAGCCTCGTAACGCTGTGCCTTGGTCCTCTGTGAAGTCCTCCCAGCTGTATTTTATCGAGTGCTCCAGCATAGTGAGGCCATAGTAGCGGAGGGGCGCGGGTTGCGAGCGGTCGAGTGCGAGCGTGTGACCATGTGAAGGCGCTTCCGGGTGCCGTTTCGCTTGCTCGAGGTATTCGGTTGCCTGTCGGCGGGTATCATTCGTTGACGAGGTTGCGTATATGGCCTGCAGCGCTTCTAATATCTGTGAGAGGTCTGAGTCGCCGCTGCCGTTGGACTGTCGGTGTTGCGCTCCACCGCCGCCATTCGTTTGCGGGGCCTGGTCTGCCCCAACGTTCATCGTGCAGAGGGCGTCTCTAGCCTCGGTATATAAAGACGTGAGGTCAGGTGAGTCTGGCGCGAACTGCACGGGGATATTGTAGCAATGTCGTGTGCGTCGTGTTCTGGATTTCGAAGATTCGGGCGGAAGTTGCTGAAAGCGGAAGACGTAGAGGGCAAGGATCGTGGGTAAGGAAGCTTTGGCGCCCGGTGTCTGGGACTGACCAGAGAAGATGGCGGTGTAGCGAGCAAGCCCAGATTCATTGACTCACAGGCCGGGACGTGGTACGCTTTATTTCGAGGGTCCAGCAAGGCAGTCGAGGCCTCTATTCACGTCGCACGTTCCACAGACGCGTTTTGCAGGCTGCAGTCCCAAAGGCACGTCACGTCGACGCGATGTCAGCTGCTTTGCCGCCAGAACTAGGCTCGTCGCTTCCGAACTAGTCTATATCCAATACATGTATCGCTATATACAAAATCATAAGTCTATCGTAAATGCTCCCCGAACACCTTGACGAGTACATAAAGTCGTCCAACGCTCATGTTTGCCCAAATGAATCATATGCACAAGAACTGCTGACTGCGTGACCTGAGCATCGCATGATATTGCATCACCGTGCATCGATTGGTCAAACCCCACCACACCAAACCCCGACATCATCAACTTTGCGACATTACATGACAGCGCAAGTCTGCTTTTGGCATTGCTGGAGGTATCCCTCATCTTCTTCCGTGCCTAGCGCGCTTCCCGGCTTTCGCACGACGCCTTTGACAGTCATGACCTGGTCACCTTCCGCGTGCCACCACCGCAGCGTCTGCTGCAGCGCGCCGTCGGTCTCCTCGGATGTGATGGTCCACTTGCCACCGCTGACCTCGACATTGGTTTGTCCTGACGGAAAGTGGAACTCAGGCAGGTAGCAGACCGTAGGGAAATCTTCCGATGTCGAGCTTGGCGCAGAGAGGGCAAGCTTGAAAGTGCAGTTCTTGAGGTCGAACCCGTACGACGAAATGTCCCCATGGACGGCAACGGGGGTGGGGCGGATGAAGGCCTCTGCTGCTCGCAGACCCCGAACGTCGTCGTCATCTTTCTTTGAGCTCATTCGTTCTGCGGTAATGGTCTTCTGCAGGTTGGAAGGGTTAATGCCAAGGGTATCGGTCGACTGTGCTCTCGAGAACGTGGGCGAATTCTTATCTAGCGACGCGCGGGAGTCGGCTGGCGAGAAGGGGCCTGCAGGAACCGCCTTGTCGTCTACTGAGTAGATGGAGAGATCCTCTCCGTTCCAAAGGTCGCCCCAGTAATGGCAGTTCTGGTCTTTGTCAGCCGTGTCCAATCCTAGACAGAATGCAAACATACATTTGCAACATAGGTCCACAGGGCGAAGCCGTTAGCTTTGCTATCTTCAAGCGCGAAGTGATTGGCATCCAAGGCAGCTATCTGACTGCTGTAGTTACCTGTCTTGTACGCATACTTGTCGTCCATATCATATGGGATACCGATCTCGGTGAAGATACAGGGGTGGACACCCGTGTACTCTGTACCTTCGTCTCGGATCGCCTTGAGCTGGTGGGAGAAGCAGTTTCTGATGGCATTCTCGCCAATCTTTATGGCGAATGCTGGCGTCAAATACTTTCCTCGCAATACACCAAATACGTCAACGTTCCATACGCGGTTCCTGTGTGATATTAGATGAGATGAGGTGAGAGCAGTGTTCTGGAACATACCACTTCTTTGTGATAAGAGTGATGCCATCGTAGAAATGGGGCGAGAAGATCATATTGGGATCATCGTCTTCTGTTCCCTTGACCTTTGGCGGTATCTCCAACACTGGCGGCTGGAAGAACATCAAGGAGTCCGGGAATATGGACTTGACCATCTTGCTGTACGCCCTGTAGTGCGGCAGCCAGTAGTGGTTTGTGAAGTACTCGTAGTCAATCTTGGCCCCATTTTTGGGATCAATTCCGAAGTAGTCCTTCTTCAAGACCGTGTCAGTCGCCGGGTCCCAGACACCGTGTTGCGCCCACAAGCATTCGCCCAACTTCCACCCTGGGTCGCGTTTCCAGCCGTATTTGGTGTCGTCGTAATCTTTCGATAGCCATGCCATAGTGCCCTCGGGGTCCACTAATGCCGAGCCACTCTTGTATGGTCCCAATCCGCCAAATTCCCAAGTCGAGATCTCGCAAGCTCTACCCGATCCGGTAAGTATCGCCTGCCAAGCCGTCGGTGAGGTGCCCTTCTGGAGTTTCTGTTCGCTCGGGATCTGGGTGATATCCTGGTAGCTGATGAGGCCTCTGTTGGGCTCGTTCATGCTTTCCCACCCAACGATCGGGTCGTGCCACAAGTCGCCTGCTTTGTGTATCCGCTTCGCAAGATGCTCGCATGCCCCGATGTAGTGATCTTCCAGATAGTCCTGGATGTTCTTTCCATCTATGATGGCCTTGGGCGCGAAGTCCCTACCACCAAAGAACAGCGTCCACATAACCTGACATACTAATCGTGTGTAGTTGGTGGTCCAGATCATCTTAGGGAAGGTTGCAGGGTCGGGGTATGTGTTGTGCACGAGGGCGGCTTCGGTGACGGCGAAGTTCTCGGGGTCCAGCCCACAAGCATAGAGAGTCCACATGGGCGCGCCAGAACCTCCAGAGAATCGTGACCACTATGCGATGCATTAGAGAAGGAGTAACTGAATCTATTGGAATGCTACCTACGACATCCTGGTGAGGATCCATGAAGATGTAGAACCCATATTCTTTCGCCTTTCGTAGGAGAGCAATGGTGTGGTCTATCCACTCCTCGTCGTACTTGCCCGGACCCGCGTGCTCTATGGCTTCCCACGTGAAGACATAGCGGATGGTGTTGTAGCCCCAACTACGTAATCGCGAGAAGTGTGTCGCGGAGTCTTCTAGCGAAAAGGGTCTGTTTACAAAGGAGACACTGTCGCCGTCGAAGAAGTTGTCTGGAATGTGTGACGGCTGATCTGGCTTCGCAGGAAACTTGGCGTCGGCCGCACAGTTGATACCGTGCAGGGTGACTTCGCGGTTCTGGGGGTCTCGGAATATGCGTCCGTCGATACGCAGCCGAATGGGAGACATTACTGGTGGCAGGCGTGTGGAGGGTTACGAGGAGAGTGAATGAGAGGAACAGGAAAAGGTCCGCAAGGCGGGTGCGAAGAGGAGCTATGAGGTATGCGCCTGTCTAGTCCTGATGGCGTAGCGGCGGCGTTCACGGGCATGCATCTGGGCATGTCGTAATCCATGCCTGCCCGCATTAGCGTCCTGGGGGTCGCGGGGGTCAGTGCGTCCCGGCTATCATGCGGCTGGTCGCTGAGGACAAGTTGCAATTGCTCGACAGTGAAAGGCCAAATAAAGGCACGACCCGCTCTTTCCATGAACTGACCGTCGCACCTGCCGTTGCTTCTCTGCGCGGACTATACTCCTGCTTGCTCAACATCCAACCTACCGTCACTCATTCATAGCACTCTCGACCGCATCCCGCCATGATACTCCGACTATCCTCCATTGCCCTCGGGCTCCTCCCGCTCGCCAGCGCACTCTCCGCTTCGGACATACCCACGGATACTCCCGTGTCGCAGCTCATCAAGGACGCCAGCGTCCAACTCGCTACCGGCAACACCCAAGACGCCCTTCTCTACTTCGACATCGCCATCACCCGCGACCCGCGCAACTACCTCACCTACTTCAGGCGCGGCGCCGCTTACCTGCAAATCGGCCGAACGGCGCAGGCCCAGCATGACTTCGACAAGGTGCTGGAACTGAAGCCTGGCTTCGAGGGCGCATTAGTGCAGAGGGCCAAGATCCGCGCCAGGAAGGCCGACTGGGCGGCAGCGCGCAAAGACTACGAGGCTGCCGGCAAGACCGATGCCATCGCGGAGCTGGAAGAAGCGCAGGGCGCTGCCATCATGGCGCAGGAGGCGGCAGAGAAGCGCGACTGGGACGCGTGTATCTCGAATGCTGGAACTGCCATCTTAGTCGCGGGAGGAGCATACGACGTCCGCAAGACAAGAGCGAGGTGTCGCTTTGAGAAGGGCGAGGTCGCCGAGGGCATCAGCGACCTGCAGCATCTCCTCCAGATCAACAAAGGCGATATCCAACCCCATCTCCAGAGCTCCGCAATGGCCTTCTACTCCCTAGGCGAAACCGACAAGGGACTCAAGCACATCGCGCAATGTCTTCAGTCAGACCCAGACTCCAAGGTCTGCATGAAGCTACGGAGGAGGGAAAAGAACCTCGACAAGGACATTCAAAAGGTGCGCAAGTTCTTCGAGAAGCGCCAGTTCGCCACCGCCTCGAAACTCCTCATCGACCGCGGCGAGGAGGAACCGGGTCTGTTGAAGGAGGTCAAGCAAGACTTCAAGGACTACACCGAACAAGGCTACATCTACGCCAACTCACCTCAAGGTCTCTACCAAACCCTCGTGGAGATGACCTGCGAAGCCTACGTCGAGATGAACAACCTAAAGAAGGGCACACCGTACTGTACCGAAGCCCTACAACTCAACCCCGACTCGTTGCACGCCCTCCTTCACAAGGCTCAATTCCAGCTCGACGCCGACGAATTCGAAGACTGCGTCCGGACCCTAGAGCACGCGAAAGAGCACCACCAGAACCAGAAGCTCGACGAGTTACACCACAAAGCGCAGACACTGCTCAAGCGCTCAAAGACAAAGGACTACTACAAGGTGCTCGGCGTAACGCGCGACGCAGACGAGCGCGAGATCAAGAAGGCATACCGCAAGCTCACCAAGATGTACCACCCCGACAAGGCCTCGGCCAACAACATGACACCCGAGGATGCGCAGAAGAAGATGTCCCAAGTCAACGAAGCCTACGAAGTCCTCTCCGACCCCGAACTCAAGGAACGTTTCGACCGCGGTGACGACCCCAACAGCAACGAGCAGCAACAAGGTAATCCCTTCCAAGGCTCACCCTTCGGCGGTCAGCAGTTCATGTTCAGACAAGGTGGAGGTGGTGGCTTCCCTGGTGGTGGCGGTAGCTTCAAGTTCCAGCAGGGCGGCGGCGGCTTTCCGGGTGGTTTCCCCGGTGGCTTTGGCTTCTAGACTATTGCTATTGCTTACTTATATGACTTGGAGTTTGGGAGCATACACAGTGGGTCAGTCATTCACATGGGTAGAAGATTCTGGCGTTTTCCACTGTATGATATCGTTGCTTCGGCTGTATTGAGAAATGAATTATGGTAGCTAGTAAGTGAGAAGATAACTCTTTCCCGCTATTTTTTTGCCCTTCTCGTCCTTGAGTCATTTCGAGCAGTCTTCTCTTTTTCACTGCCGTTTCTGTTCAATCTCCATACCGTGGCCACTACGAACAGGCTCATTTCCTTTGAGTTGTCCTCAAACAGACTGTACCGTGGAGGTATTCGATACGCTGTACGTTGTCGGAAGTTAACGTATCGCTCAGCGAATACCTCCAGGCTGTAATGTAAGGCCACTTCACTTGCTCTCGTATGACTTAGGATCCGCAATCCATGGCCTTGGGACGGAGCTGTCGGCTGCGCCTCGCTGCTCAATGAACTTGCGAATTAGGTCGTTGGCGAAATCAGCGCACGTATGCTTGGTCAAGTCTTCAAGTCCTTTCCATGATGGTAGCGCATTGAAGACCCAAAAGTCTACAAACAAGCGTCGGGCAGGTGATCCGGCAGGGGTACCAGCGTAGATGATCTGTATCGCTGGATTTCCAGGTAATTTTTTGGAAGTTTGGCTGCGTCGGATTATAGCGGCGACGACGCTGTTCTGGAAGGTAACGTCCATAATCCGTTCTCCCAAGACATAAAGACTCGCGAGGTGCCTATAAGATTGATCGTTATCAAGATGCATGACCCTTCCCGTGTACAACCACCCGCAGTATCCTTCGAAAATGGCAGGATCCACGTCAGACATGTCGATGGGCTTTGTAGGATCTGTGCGCCATGCTGATTTCAGTGCGTTTTTGAAGAACTCGGAGCTCTTGCCCAAGGCTGTGGCGTGAACATGCAGCAGAGTCTCCGGGTTGTTGCCGACGTGGATGGGTACGATGTCGCCTCTCAAGTTGGGTGTCTCAATGTCGTCTCCAGCCTCTGTCAGGGCAATCATGGCGGTGTCTGGAGTGGGGGCGGGAATCTTCACTTCGGGCGTTTTCGATTTGTCTACTCATGGTATCAGCTATTAGAGACATAGGTCGCTTCGAACTTACTTACAGCTACGACTTGAGCCGATGTCGAAAAGAAGAGTTAACGGACGAACGAGAAATTGTTGAAGGTGTACACTTTTAGAACTAAGTGAGAGAACATGTCTTCGACTTCGCGCTAACGATCTCTCACTCACCAATGTGCAGCTACATGCTGTTAGTGCCAGGTGAACGAGACCCCGGTATTCCAATTCGATCCATTTTTGACAGAACAGGCGGCTATGTATGTGTAAAACCTCGCTTCTCGCACAAACCGCACTCAGTTTAGCTTCCCAGGTGAGGATGTTACACATTACCCTGGAGGTATTCACACTTGTCTTTGTTGATTTTTACTAGACCAAAGGACTATGTATACTTTATAGTACATCATCACTTGTAGCGTGTTCTGGATGCAAGGGATGTAGTCTCCTACATACCCCAGAATGCATCAAGCACGTCCACCTCCTCCTGGACTGAAGGGTCAGTCTTGTTGGAAAGCTCATCCTCGCTGGGTGATCCATCCTCGTCGGAGGAAGAGTCATCTTCGCTGGAAGATGCTTCCTCGCTGGAAAGCTCTTCCCCGCTAGAAGGCTCCTCCTTGATGAAGGGCTCATCTATCATAGAAGGCTCTTCCTTGATGTGAGCTTCATCCCCAACGTAAGGCTCGTTCCTAACGAAAGGTTCCTCCTCAGCGGGCTCATCCTTGATGAAAGGCTCAAAGATCGCCTCGTCGCCCCTGTCTTCCGGTATCTCGCTCTTGATCACGACACCCTTGTTGTAATAGGAACTTCGTTGCGAGATCCATGGCCTAGCCTGAGAAGCATCCGGGAGCCCCCGCCTGTCTAACAGTGCCGGTAAGAGGTCATCCAGAAAAGGTTTGTTCTCTGGCGCTCGAAGTCTCGTCTTCGTTACCCAAGAGGATTCCATGTTGAAAGCCCACAGATCCACCAGGAGACGTATCACCGGGGCTTTCCTCGGAGCGCCCTCGTAGATGATTCCGATAGCTTGCAGATCAGGTACTTTGTAGCGCAGGGGCTTTTGACTCAGTCGCGCAGTGATATGGCGGTAGATTATGGCGTCGACGACATCGTTCTGGAATGTGCGGTCGATCAACTTTTCTCCCAAGACGTACATCCGAGCAAGGTAACTGAATCCATTGTGATTGTCTAGTTTCGCGTCAAGGACTCGAGTATATAGCCATTGACAGTATATTTCGAAATCATGAGGCTTTTCGTCGGACAGATCGATGAACCTGCAGAGGTACACGTACGGAGTCAGTGAATGTCTCATATGTATGTATTTCGTGAAGCGAGATCTTACCTGTGAGATAAAATCGACTCGTGACTAATGGCTTTTCTGAAGTATTCGGAGCTGCTACTGATGAGATCCTTGTGTACGTCGACGATTTGGAGGCCGACTTTGACTGCGATAGTCTCGCCCGAGACACTAAAGACGTTAGATGCCTGTTTTTTTGAGAAGACATAGGCGTCGATTCACTTCGGTAGCTTGATGGTAAATGCAGCTGGTTCACATGAGTCTGGGAAAGCCATTTTGCTGTAGGCTTCCCGCTCCTTGTTAGTAGGCGTAAGTACCCGAGGCACGCAACAGCAATGAAGTGGTTAGTCAAGGAGGTCAGTGGTTTGCAAGTATTGGTTCGAAAGTGAACCCAAATTGCGACAGAACAGGCATAAAGCACGGACGCTGCAGCCTCAGCCAATCCTCAACGGTACGTAGTGAAAGTGAGTGTGAATTTGTCTCAATGAGGAAAGCGCGCCTTTCTCTCATATTACCCACGAATTCTTCCGCCCTCGGCACCATATAAGTCCAGTATCCCGCCCTCTTCCATCCCGAGGTCGATACGCTTCTTCAGCCCTCTCAATATCTCGACCCTTTAGGATGTCCGTTCCAGTCTCTCCACCGTCTCCACTTCTGCGTCTTCCTCGCGAACTGCGCGATCAGATATACACTTACACTTTCGACGATGCGGAGCCCTTTGTGAAAAATCGAGCTGCAATCACGACATCAAGCAAAATCGCGCTCTTCCACGACCTCCCAGCCTTGTGTCAAGCCAACCGCCAACTATTCAACGAGGCCACGCCAATTTTCCTGGCTCAAAACCTGTTTTCATGGAACACTCAAGAGTCGAAGCAGCTCCTAGACCTGTTTTCTCATCTGCCTAAAGATGCAGCATCCAAGCGCGTCAAGCATATCTCAATATATAACTGGACCGAGCAAGGCACTCCCGCGCACCTGGAATTGATTTCCAAATTCACCCAGCTCGAATTCGTCGAAATCATCTTCAGTTTCCCCAGCATTGAAGACGGCGTGCGCATGGAGAGATTCGACTACACCAACGAGCAAGAGTGTTATCTGGAAACCGGCTTGCACTACGATCTCCCCGAAGGACGCAGCCTCGAAGAAGAAAAGGCAAGTCTTGCGCAAGACGTGGAGACGTTTGTCGCGCAGTATGGTCTCGATCGCATCATCGATATGCCCAAGCTCGACGGCATGCAGTTCCAATTTGCAACGAATCAGGGTGAAGAGGATGCTTTTGGCGGCAACCAAGAGTATAGACATCGCTTGTGCAATCCATTGTGGAGGTGGGCGACGAAAAAGATGGAGGAGAAATGGGGAGCTGATAAGTTTTTCGTCACAACTACGATGCCGGAGGACTATCATCATGTGAACAGGCCGTATGTTGGGTGGTGAGCTTACTTGGACCCCAAGGTCTGCGAAACTAATCGCACTCCGCGTCGTAAAAGTATCGGATATCTCGCCACTCTTCACGAACTCAAACTTTTTGCAGCTGATTGTCATACCCGTCTGAGTTGGGCTCGACGGCTGCATTCCACTCGGCGCCTTCAAGGACCTATGTATCTGAAGATAAAGTGGCGATTGCTAGGGTCAAATTTTGAAAACAATGTATGATCGTATTCTTTGAGTTATTGACAGCGGCCTGCTCCAAGACCTATCATAAGCGCTCATAGAAGCCCTGGCCCTGAGATCGAGGTATCTTCCCGACTATAAAGTATCTATAAACCTCTCCGGCGTTGTTGTAATAATAGCTCTTAGTCGGAAGTGTCCATCAATTCATCCTTCGCATTCCCAACCTCTTTCCCGTTGTTCTGTTCCGCCCTCAAACGGTACTGTTCAGGAGCCACCACCCACGGACTAAGTTTCCGATTGATAGGATATTTCGTACAAGAACGAATGAAGCCTCTCACCAAGTCGTCCACGAACTCCACGCTGGTTTCCTCTACAAGACTTCCCGTAATATTCCAGTCTTCATCGCAACCGTATACAAACATATCAACCATAAGTCGGCGTGCTGGAGAGCTTGCACTACTGGTACCCGAATAGATGATGTTGATAGCGTATTCTGGAGGAAAGGAGTCCCTTTCTATTGCATGGTCGATCATAGCGGAAAGAACAGCGTTCTGGAAGGTCTCGTCAACGAGTCTTCCGCCTAAAACGTACAAACGAGCAAGTTGGATGTGTCCGCCCACAAGAGGCCGAGTGACAGTGACCTTTCTGCTGTAGAGCCAATTGACGTAAGATTCAAAATCTTCTGGTTCTTCGTCCGCCAGGTCAATTTGTTTCTTTGCGTTGGCGCGCCATCTTCGCTTCATGGCGTTTTTGAAGAAATCAGATGTCGCCGTCAGTGTACCGATGTGGATGTGGAACTTCTTTCTGCCCACTTTGATAGGCATTGGCACGCCTGAGACACTAGGAGAAGTCAGTAGGGCTCAATTCATTATAAGTAATAGTTGCTCACTCTGGAGATGGCGCAGTTGTGTCGTCGTTAACATGGCTCCGGGTTCTCGCGCGTAGTGACATACTGTACACAGGCGAAGTATGGTTGAATAGCTTGATAAGGTCGGTTCGATGGTGATGAGAGTGGGGTTGAGAGTGTGGAACGGGTCTTCCGGGTCGTTAATAAGGAGCTTCCATACACAGGGTGAATTTCAGGGTAGCATTTGCTGGCAAAGTGACAACCTGAGCGCGGCGCTTGCCCAAAGAGAATACTGCGTGAAATGAAAAATCAATTCCCCGAATGTTTTGGTCTCAATACCATTGAAAACTACGAAACTCCCCCTGTTTGGTTACATGTGCTTCCACAGATCGTCTTCACTTTTCGGTGTGAATTACAAACGAGATTTCGGGTTTTCGCCGTACCTCATAGTGACCAACAGCGCTCCGAAAGAGACTGCAATCAGTGTAATTCTTACTATTACAGAGAAGGTAAATACAATGTTGACATGGCTAATGGTACACAACATACCAAAGGCGTCCACGGGTATCAAGAAATCAATCAGTCTGCCTCTCCGAAGTCGCTATGTCCCGTTTCGGCTGCGTGCTGCATCGCGCCCCGTTCTCCTGCCCCTTTCCAACCGCATGTGTTGCACTTGAGATCAAATTTCTGCGTATCGGTGTAATAGTGGGCTTTCTTCAGCTGCCCGCAGAGTTCCCTCGCAGCTTCAAGAATCACATCGTCCGCCGCATCGAATATCTTAACATCTTGCGAAGGATCTTGCGTGGACGCACCCTGGGGCACGAAGGCGATCGTATCGTAATGGATACCAGAATACACCACGATACAGCGCCGCGGTCTGCCCTCGTTGAATCGGTCCACCCGGTTGTCCTGAACATTGACACTGGCGATCTCAATGTCAAACTCTTGGGAAAGGATGCTGAGTTCGATGCCACCACCCCACGAGTCGGCGTATGATATCCATTTGCAGTACTCATCTGGTGAGCGTTGTAGGATCGCCTCGTTGTACTGTTCCGGGTCTCTTTGAATAGCTTGCGCAACCATCGATCGAAGCTCGGTCATGGAATCGAGAGAATCGGTCAGAACAGCGCTACCAACAGCTCGAAACATGCAGGAGTTGTCGTCAGGCATAACTCGAAGGACCATGGTGCCACCGCGGTCAGGCACGAGAACTTCGGGCGTTTCCTTGAGCGCTGAGTTCTGCTTCCGTTGAAGGGATAGTGGCGCCGCCTGTGATGTGTTTGCCTGTAGTTCTTGCTCCTGCTTCCGTTCGCTCGGGTCGCCAGTGGCTTGTGCAATGACTATGATGGATGCGCCGTTCAGCTTGAGATCGATATCCTTCAGCAACGTCGACATGCCGTATAGGGAAGGGTCGAGCGGTTGAGGCGGGTGGTTCCATTTCAGCTCGAAGAGTGGTAGTTCTGTCTTCTCGCTGATAGAGGAGAGAAGGTCCGAGACGGCGGCGTTGTCGTTGAGTGATAGTGTGTGGGTGCCATTCGGCGCGCGTAACCGGATGCGAATCGGCATGGTTTGATGGGTCGGCTGGAGAGATGGAGGGATATACGTGTACGGAGGGATACAGGTGAGGGAGCTTCGAAGGCGTGGCGCGTGATGACAGTTGACTGGTGGGGCGACTTAGCGGTGGAGAGCTGCGCTGGTATTAGGGAAGCTGCGATGAGTGAGTTGGTATGAAGAGAGGTAAATCTTCACGAATGCGCAAACATGAGGAGAGCTTTGTTAGGAAGAAAGGATCGTTTGTCAGCTACGGGAGAACGCTACAAAGACGACAGATTGCACGGATCGGGTGACATGGCTGGCGTACGTGAAGGTTCCCGAATCATGGAGGAGGCCGGCCGTCCCCGGGGATCGGCGAATCTTACCTCCGTCCGGCGTCGCGACTTCCAGCATCCAGGACGCGACACGCCAACACCTAGCGCAAGAAGGATACCGGAACACGACAGCATCGAGTCGACTATCGCAAACATGGCGACCGGACGCGCCCCAAGCTCGACACCGGTGCCCACGACCGAGACGGCTGAGTCCGCCGGCGCAACGTCTACCGTCACGGCGCCAGAATGGGAGGCCATGGCCAACCTCCTCAAGAATGTATACGACTACAGGATTGACGAGTAAGTTTCGATTCTACATGCGCCATGCCGTCCCCAGCTGATCAACGTGCAGTGGAACATACGACCCTACCAAGCTCTTCCAGCGCAAAGTGAACAAGCGCGCCGTGCCCGACTACTACGATATCATCAAGGAGCCCATGGCCCTGAGTACGATAAAGGCCAAGATTGCGCAGCGAGAATACAAGAACTTTTCCGAGTTCGTACGCGACCTGGCGCTCATTCCCCACAATGCGCAGGTGTACAACAGGCAGGACTCGCAGGCATATGTCGATGCGCTCGAAGTAAAGAAGGTCATCGAACGCGAGCTGAAGAGGCTAGTCGACGACAAGATCGTTCCTGAGACAGTCGCCACCCTGCCGTTCTTGGGAGAGATTCCCGAACAAGACCCGCTGTTACCAGAGGAGGAAGAAGAGGAAGAGGAAGATGACGATGAGGAAGAACTCGAAGTGGACGAGGAAGAGGATGAGGACGAAGAAGATGAGGGCAAGCGCAAGAGGCGCCGCGGACCGCGTTCCACAGCAGCTATCACCAAGCGTGAAGGCGGTTCAAGAGCAGCAAAGGAAGACGCCAAGGCAGACGATCCAGAATCGCGGAAGAAGCGCGGACGACCGCCGCGGGTCGACACTCCTATGGAAGCGCGAATCAAGACCATTATGAAAGCAATCAGGAAACCGCGGAACCAACTCAACAAGCTCATGGTGAGCGCATTCGAGCGCGTCCCGGACAAGACAGTCATGCCCGAGTATCACTCTGAGATCAAGAATCCAATGGCCATGGACATCCTCAAGCGCAAGCTCAAGCGAAAGAAGTACAACTCCGTCGATCACTTCATGGTGGATGTAGAGCTCATGTTCGAAAACGCGAAGCAGTACAACGAAGAGGACAGCCAGATCTACAAGGACGCCGTGCATCTCCAAAAGGAATCGCGCAAGGTTGCAAAGGCCGAGAAGGAGAAGCCAGATACTGAATACGTCATGGAAGAAGGTCGCATCCCTATGCCCAGCGGCATCGTTCACAACGGAGAGCTGTGGAAGGTCGGCGATTGGGTGCACATTCAGAACGCGAACGACCTTACAAAGCCGATTGTTGCCCAGATCTACCGCACTTGGCAAGACGCGAACGGTGGACAATGGGTGAACGCCTGCTGGTACTACCGCCCGGAGCAGACCGTGCACCGTTTTGACCGACACTTTTTCGAGAACGAAGTTGTCAAGACTGGCCAATATCGAGATCACCGCATCGACGAGGTCGTGGACCGATGTTTCGTTATGTTCATCACCCGTTACAACAAGGGCCGTCCCCGCGACTTTCCTTCTGATAAAGAGATCTATGTCTGCGAGGCTCGATACAACGAAGAGAACCACAAGCTCAACAAGATCAAGACATGGGCCAGTTGCTTACCCGACGAAGTGCGAGACAAGGACTACGTAATGGATCTCTTCGATGCGCCTCGAAAGTTGAAGAAGGTGCCCAGTCCGATCGCGTACCTGCTCAAGGACGAGCAAAAGGAGGACGACGATCTTCCAAAGCCAGAGTGGGGAGCTGAGAATGCTCCCCCAAAGATTGGCGCCGTGCATCGTCGTCCGCGTGACCCCAAGGCAAGTGAAACTGCTTTAGGCCACCATGAGACCCAAAGCTAACAGTTCTTGTAGGATTCACCACCTCCCGAGCCCACCCCACCGCCGCCTCCGACACCTCCACCAGCACCCGCTATGCCTACTCCAAGCTTACCAACGGCTTCGTCACATGGCTACGACTCCTCGAGGAACTATCCGATTGCGCAAGCGCCGACTCTGACGCCAATGCCT